GTTGAATTCCCCTTGAAATCAATGAAACGAGGCGGTGGAAGCACTACCGCTTTTATCCACAGGGGTCGCCAGAATCAACACAAATGAAAGCTTTAGATAGTGTTCACCTGCTCTCCTTCAATCTCTCTCTCTCTGTGTGTGTTTGTAGGTGATGCAGCTGCAGAAGGAGAGTGGAACGGCGGAGGAGCACAGCCTGGATAAAGAGGCGAGGAAATGGGCGAGTCGCGTGGCCCGAGAATACAAGAGCGTCATCCACACTCAGAGGGTGAGCGCCGGATCGAACTGATGAAGATGTTACAGGAAGACTTCAGGAGTCTTCAGAAGTCTTCACCTTTACTCCACTGTCCATTATATAAAATAAAACAGGATCTTACGCCGTCAAGGAAAGTTTTATACACTTCAAAAAGTATTTTTTTTAAGTGTATAAAACAGCGGTGGTCAGGTACTTCATATAGTAGTAACATTACAACGTCCACCAGTCAGTAGTTCCTGTTATAGTCGACTATCTCCAGTAAAACGACCTCTTAAACATCATAAATGGAAAAACCTGGTTTCTGTCGTTGGAGAATTAAAGAAACGTTTCCACAATACAGATTTCTGATGCAGGTTTCACACCTCGACGCACCATCAGTGAAATCGTTTCCTCTGTGATCTTTCTGTGAAGTGTTTTAAAAGTCTGTCACGTGATTACAGAGCAGTAAAGAACATAAAGTTACCTGCCGAGTTGTCCTTTCGATTCTACGGGGAAGTTGTCGGGGCCATAAATCAGTTTATCGGTCATTTAACACGTCGTAATTTCTCTGTGCAGGTGGCAGAAACAAGGAACCAGGAACTTTCTCCATGATCGTAAACAATATTGTGTTTTACACCACAACAGAATAACATAGTCAACTTATTTATTGTCACTTACACAACGTTCATCCTAAGAACCAACTCCAGATTCAAGCTGTAACATGTATTACTACTAACTACTATTATTGTTTAAACTTTAAGCACAATGTAATATTGCCATGGAGTCGAGATAAGAGATAAGATGGACTTTATTGATCCCACACTGGTTAAATTCACTTATTACAGAAGCTTCAGATAAAACACAGCAGATAAGAAAAAAAGAAATACACATTGAATAACAAAATAAAATAGAATTAGTGTTGTACGTAAAGTATAAACAGCTTTTAATACAGATGTGGTTTAAGTAGAATATTGCACAGTTACAGTAAGAGGTGGAAAAACAATTTACAAACAAAAAATATACATATACAGCAGTAATTTAACAGAAGAATAAAGGTTAGACCGGGCTTTGAACATACAGTACAGCTCTAATATCAGTTTAGCTTCGTTGTTTTTGACTATATTTGTTTACATTTTGGCAGTTTGACGCCATTTAAAGTGCAGAATTAGCTAATAACAAAAAAAAACAACTTAAAAACGTGCTGATTCTCAGGCGAGTTCTGGATCTATAAGGTTTCTTCTTCCCCATTTAATCAGGTTTATGATATTTATAACCGAATATCTTTTCCACTACACTTTGGCCGTGAAAGCAATAAGGTCGGTTTGATAATCAGAAACCCGGAGATCATAAAACCGTAAAGCGATAAGAGTTCGTCACCTCACATCGACCTCTCTTCCCCGATTTATTTTGAAAGTCGAGCGGTGACGATGAGCGATTGCCGACCCCATCAGTGACGTTTTCCTTTTCCAGTCCACCGACATGATTCAAATGTTTCCGTTAAGACTTTATTGTTTTACAGTTTCCGTCCTCGTGTGTTTGTTGTTTACACATTCTGGATGTTTGTTTGTTTGCGGTTGTTGTTTCATTGTTTGTCCTCTTGTGTGATTTTTTGTTTTCAGGCCCTGGAGGAATATGGGACACAGGAATCGTCGGAGCAAAACAACAGTGAGCTGGAGACTAAGATGGAGGTGGCCAGGCAGAGTCTTCGGAGGGCAGAGGTAACGTGTGTGTGTGTGTGTGTGTGTCCGTGTGTGTGTGTGTGTGTGTGTGTGTGTTATTGAGTAACAGATGGATTTCTGTTTTCTCAATCAGTGTCCTGTTACCTAAAGTGGCCCCAGTACTCCACCTACTGGTAAAAAAGAGGAAATGACACAGATTAGAGTCTAATAAAGCTGATCATCGTTAATTAAAACCCTAACAGAGCGTATGAGAACTGATAATTGAGTCATCGATTAGCTCGTTTATGGAGGACAAATACGTTTATTTGCAGGTTGTGCAACATGTATTGTTACCTCTCGAGTATATGAGAGTAAATGTGACTGATTGTTACGTAAGAATAGTTGTCTGCTGGTCCAGGCCTGGAAGAGTCCGTAGTCTGGATGGTCTCTGACGATCCTGTTGGCTTTAATGGAGAGAAACTGACATCCAGCTGCCCCGTTCTGTTTCCCGTGAGATATTATCGACTTTATATCGACACTTTGGCTGTTGTAAACATTATAGCTGCTGCTCTAGAAACAACAGTTCAGTTTTATTTAACATATTCAGTCCCAATCCAGACTGACAGTCGCATTTGTGTCTCTGTAAAAGTCCCACATTGAACTAGCTTCAAGTTTAACTGTTCAAACGAATCAAATGTGAGGATTTACAGCTGTTTCTCTTTTTTATTCATCAATCATTTTATAGATTAATGAATTAATGAATCTATTAATCTGAATGTATTATAACGAAGAGACGGATTAATCGATAATAATAATAATCACACGTTGCAGACGTGATAACTTTTAGATTTTTAAATGTCTTTCCTTTTAGTTTATTTCATTTATTGTCTCATCACGTTTGTTTATTTGTTCATGTTATTATTTATCACTCAGACGGTGAAAGTGAAAGCAGAGGCCCGTCTGGACTTACTGAGGCAGGCGGGTGTCGCTGTTGAAACGTGGCTGAAGAGCGCCATGAACCAGGTGATGGAGGAGCTGGAGAACGAACGCTGGAACAACCTCAATACCCATGATCCTTCACTCTCTGTAAGACCCACAAAACGCTCTTTCTAACCCTGTTTTTTTAAGATTTAAGTACAATGCTTTGTTTCTCTTTCCACCTCCGACTGTCGCACAAAGTAACGTCTGTCACATGTTTCTGCAGGGAACAGCCGACCTGGAGCGAGAGGACGAGGAGATGGAGGACAGCGGCGAGGTGTTGGACGACAGCAGCTCCAGCCCCTCCAGCACCTTGAAAAACTATCCTCTCACCTGCAAAGTCCTCTACTCCTACAAGGTACCAGCAGAATCCAGTTATTACTGCTGTCTGTGGACCTGCTGTCAGTACAGTCCACTTAACGTTACTTTATTTGTACACAAAGTAGATTTGGTTTGCAGTAAAAGACAAAAAGAGCTCAAAAATCAGGACTTCCAAAGAGAAATCTATATAAAACATCACTAAAATAGATAATAAATAGAATAAATGAGGTGGAAATGCTGTAAAAAACTCCATGTTACTACAATTTATTAATCTAAATCATTGCTTCTGGATCAACTCTACACTTTATGGAGCTTACACACTAGTTGTTGCTGCCCTCTGGTGGTCGGGCGTGTTAATAACTAGATAAATTTGTCCCACAGCAACATAAAAATAATATATCTGACATCTGTGTGCATTAAGAAGAGAATTGAAGCAGACGTTTAAAGGTAATGCACTTTACCAATTACTATAACAAGCAGTAATTGGTGGTGTGACTCACAAACAGTCTTATTTTAGGTGACTAGGCATTAATATAACTAAAACAAATCAACACTTCCACAAACTGCTGCCTCTAAATGAACTTAAAGTTGAATCAACGCCTCTAAAACAGGACGGTTGTGTTGATTTACTCTGAGCTGCTAATGAGCTGACAGCTTCTCTGGTTGTCGTCGCCTCGTTTACACCTTTACACCAACAGCACAGGTGTAAACTGAGAGCTCAGCACCTTTCTCCGCCCTCCTTTCACCTTATTTGTGTTTCCAGGCGTCTCAGCCAGATGAACTGACCATCGAGGAGCAGGAAATCTTAGAGGTCATTGATGACGGAGACATGGAGGACTGGGTCAAAGTACGTGTTCCCACATTTGAGCTTTTTCAGAAGACGTTTTAATGATGGTTGTCGTGGATTTTCCAACCAGTCGTCATCGTGAGTGTGTATTTCCTACATTTCCAGGCCAGAAACCGCAGCGGACAGGTCGGCTACGTCCCAGAGAAGTACCTGCAGCTTCCCTCCTCTAACAGCCTACTGAGCATGCTGCAGGCTCTCGCCGCGCTGGACGCCAGATCTCACTCCTCCAGTAACTCCACCGAGCCTGAAACCGAGCTACCGACCGGCTCCGTCAACGGAGACGCCGGCGGTGAGTCTGCGAAAACAAAACGCTTAAACAGACGAAACTTTAGCGCGCGTACGGATTTTCTCAACCTGTCCTCCTTCTGTTTGCAGTGTCATTTGCGAAGGCGCTGTACGATTACGCGGGACAGACGGAGGACGAGCTGTCGTTTCCGGAAGGCGCGATCATCCGCATCCTGAGCAGAGAGACGCACGAGGACGACGGTTTCTGGGAGGGAGAGTTCAACGGCGTGGTCGGCGTCTTCCCCGCTGTTCTGGTGGAGGATCTCACCGCCGCCAGCGAGAACGGAGACGGACAAAGAGACGGCAGCGCACAGGTGGGGTTGGTGTCGTAGCACAGAGGCAGATTTCTTAGATTTGGTCCCAAATTTATTCAGAATCTTTCTAAAAGTTAAACTATAAGACTGAAAATAATCGCATTAGAGTTTTTATGAAGCTTCTCACATTTACTTTGAACAAGTAGACGGACTGACGCCACAGTTTCTTACGTCACACTCTAATATTACTAATAAAATATAGAAATTATGACGATTGTCTGCAGTTTCAGTTCTAAATATTAATGGAAACATTTGAAATGCAGAAAAAAAACACTTTTTATACGAGTAAGTTTAGTTTTTAGTCAAAACTACTCAAATATTTACACACTTTTATTTTTTACTTTCATACAGTGTATAAACTTCTCATTTATAGTCTCATATTTTCTATTATATTTTGTAATATTATTATTGTACTTCCACTTCTGTACTCTTGCACTACATTCCCTTAAAGTTACATCTTATCTTATATTTATAAGTAAATTGTATAATAAGCACATACGATATAAAACAGTAGTTGGCCTCACATTGTTTAATACCTGCAATCATTTTACAGTTATATTGCACTTGAATAAATGATGTTAAAGGCAGAAAAGCGAATAAAGAATAAATAATTCCTCTCAATCATCACTTACAACCTTAAAGTGTGCGTGCTGTATCGCCTGTATTGTAGATCACCACGATACTTTTGATGTCGGTTTTACAAACACAACCGACGACCGTTCTCATTCTGCTGTTTAATTATAAACCTACAGTTGCATGAATGGTGTGGATAAACTAATCTGCACTTCACTTGCCAGTTCTGCAGAAGAATATTAAAGTTTCAGCTACGCTTGTTACTGCTGACTCTCGGTTGTGTACTCAACTTAAACAAACTGTTTTCTTAATAAAAACAGTCTCCATTCGCCACAAGCCAACGTTGTGTAAATGAACTTTCTGCTCCTCTCCCAGGCGTCCCCTCCCTCCTGGCTCATGCGACCGACCCTCTGCATGTCCCTTCAGCCGGGGCCTCTCCACATGAGCCGCCTTCAGACGCCCACCACCTCTCTCTCTCCATCCAGTCCCTGCACGCCACGCCTCGTCCCCATTGCGACCACCCTCATATCACAACGGAATCACCCAGGCCGCGCGGCCGCCTACACAAAAGCCCCTTTCCAGAGTAAGATTTATCTGTATTTAAGTGTTTGTATAGAAGTGGAGACCAAAACTTGAATAATCGGTGTTCTCGGTTCACAGGTCCCGCTCAAGTTCCCCTCTAACCTCCAAATATCGAAGAGCGGCTCCAGCACATTCGAACTGTGATAGCACCACACACACACCACACACACGACACACACACACACACACACACAGCACAACTCTTTCTGTTTCAGTGTGCTGAGCATGCTACCGGCCCCATGACCCTTTCAAAGTAAAAGCAGTTAAAGAATTAAACTAAAGAATGAAAGACGGAAAATCGTTTATCCCATACTTCAACATCACAGGCCTCGGGGAATATCACGCGCTAACAAATTATTAGTCATTATTGATTATTATTTATAGTGAATGTAAGTCGACTGGTGGGTGCTCCGTCCGTGCTGCTAACTCCGCCCCCGAAGCAGCATCCTCGTGGGCAGGTTGGAAGCGGGAGAGAGGAGGTGGAGATCACCGCTGTGTGAAACGGCGGCGGCGGTTCGGTTCTAGACCGGCTGGGACTCGGGGCTTTTTTGTGCTCTAAACAACTCCCAAAGGAACCGAGGAAACTTTAAACCCCCGAAGACGCCTGGAGGACGAAGAGGCTCTAAACTTTTGTCCTCGGGAGGGCAGTGTGGCTGTTGGAGAATATCGGTTGGCCTTTCAAATACTCCTTTAATTTCCCTCCATCGCTGTTTCCCATTTCTCTCCCCGTTTGACCGATTAAAATAGGCAGATATTGTATTATTGTAATCTTATTGATAACTACAGAATATCTGCTATTAGTATCTTCAGTTTCCACAATGTATCACGTCGTTCGCTCATGAGTAACGGATAGTGATAACAGATATTAACAGAGAAGTTCTATATTTATTTGTGGAAATCCAAATTTAAATAAGTTTAATGTTACTTTGATTTTTAAACACAAACCCGACAAACACACCAGCGTTCAACTCCATAAACTTTTCAGCTACTCCAACAACAAAAATACTTTAAAATAAATTAATATAAGGAATATAAAGATAATTATTACAGTTAAAGTGAGAACGGTTTATTTCCACGTTTGTCCAAATGGACGATCTATACGTTACTTATTATAGCTATAAACTTCCTCTGTCGGAGTAAAAACACAAAGTTATATTGATAAGGATGCACCAAGTTTGATGTTTTGTTTCAGTTAACAATAATTATCTGCTTCTAGTGGCGATACGATTAATT